TTTCGACTGGAGTATAGAATCCCTTTATGGCATTGCAATTGCGTATTTATGTATACTCTATTTCACTCTATCGAAATAGGGGACTTTTGTAGTGGCCAAGATTTTTCTACCCGTGAAAGTTTGAGCGTCCTTTGAGTTTATCTTTGTTCGAATGAGAATGATATTTACTTGTTTCAATTTCAATTTTGGGAATAGGAGGAAGAGTGGAAGAGAGAGAGAGAGAGAGAGAGAGGTCAATACTTTTTGTTTTGTTTTAGTTTCGGCTTTTATCTTCCATGTCTCTTAACTTTATTATGTAATATGTGACTCAACAATTTAGACTGAGCTAGAATGATGATGTGGATGGAAAAGTACCTTTATTCGCCTTTAAGTTTTTGGACCGAACAGAGTGTGCAACGAAAATTGCGTTTCAGTGCTTTAGTTGAAATATCTTTTGAGATCCTTATCAAACCCAGTCACCGACGAAGATATGTTTCTCTATAGTTATACACAAGTGATCCACAGGTTCAGCGCGAGGCTCACTACACCTTAACTGGCCAAGATCGAGGAGTGGGCAACCCATGTTGCAACATTTCCGGAGACATTTGGGGCATTGTTCACCACCCACACTCCCGGCTTCTTAGGTCTAAATCATGTCTCGGGCTTATGGCTAAAATCTTCGTATGGTCGTGGCATAATTGTGGGGTAATCGATGGAGGGATCTGGCCACTAAGCAAAAACTTTGGCGACCTAGGGATGCCACCTATATCGGAAAAATGGAATGACAAGTGTGAAAATAGGCACAATTTCAAAGCTTCCTACTGGAATCGAATGCTTATTGTGCTCAATTTTGATCACTATTACAATGGCACCAAAGTTGCTTCTTGCCTTGCTGATCACTATTACAACGCCACAACCGGCCCTCTGGAGGTACACTTTGAAAGGCATGTGACCCACATGTCCTCCATTGCGGCAGGAAACTTCTTCCTTGAAACTAGATTCTTTTAGATACGTAAAGGGACAACAAGGGAGTCACTCCGAGAGCTGACGTTGACATGTACAAAGTCATCTAGGAAGTCGAAGACAATCAAAACTGCCATGCTGCACACTTGGACGTAGATATTATGCCATTGTCCATCAACTTCCCATTTTTGAACTTTAACAAGGATCTTATATCGAAGGGTTCGCTCGCTGCTACTGGAAGAAGGATTTTCGTCGAAAGTCCTCAAAACTAACTCATGCCTCCGTCAGGCAGTGACCATATTATCAACGGAGCCCCGTGGATCACGACCGTGCGAGCTGACATGGTTGATCAAAGTTGCATAGCAGAAAATGACACTTCCAAATAGAGTTGAAATAAAGGGGTATTCTTACTTCCTGCTGGGTAATATCCGCCTTCGATATGACTATGTACTATGCAGGAAAGGTGGCATGCTCTGCTACTTACTCCCTTAATCGCTCACAAGTTACAGGGAAGTTTATCATCTGTGAAAACGTGACCGAAGATCAACTAACATATATGGCTTTGAGGCTTGAGCAATTGGGCGCTTTTGGAGGAGTGTTGATCACTGAAAAGCCAACAACTTTGTTAGACCCAGTTGATTGTTCGATTTCGTTAATAGCCCTGCCTTAAATTTAGGAGATTTGGTAAGGAACTATGTGGCTGTTGTTTTTGCTGAGCCAAGCTACGGAGCATCAGATTTCAGTTGATTAAGATCGGGATCAAATCGAATATCTAGGATGGGATTTTCACTTGCAGAGGGCCCGACCGATTCAATTTAGGGATTTTGAAGATGGATGTTGTGCCTCTTGGAGTTAAAATCTTGGCAGCCTACTTGCGAAGGGTTTCTCACATGTCACGAAGAGATTATGATATGATGTCAGAGTACGCCATGCTCTTTGGCACATCCATGGTGACCCTGCACATTGCTCGCGTGCGACACTTCTCAAATCCGTCTACCCTACATGGAGCCCAATTGCACTTAGATCGACTATGATGACCACTACTTTTGTGGTTGACAACACGAGACGGCATTTGACAGAGAAGCTTATGATTCTTGAAATATCCTGGTCGATTTATAAGTTGGACACATCAATCCTAACAGGGCCCTGGATCCAGGGTTGGTATATGATATCAAGATCCAGGATTACATTTATTTGTTGTGTGGGAAGAACCTAACTACAAAACAACATGAAGCCATCTTGCGGGGCCGTGGATGAAAATGATCCACCGACCATGAAAACCCAAGTAGAGCAGGCGACACTTTTATTTCTGCACAAGAAAGTGATCAAGAATTTCTGGATCAGGGTGGACATCGTGGAAGATTCACTGGCGATGACCTACTGTTTTCTCCGTGGGGGCGATCAACACAACCACGTCGTTTCCAGCCCCATCGTTGCCCACATGCGGGATCACTAAATCATGTGTTGCAGAGCAGCTACATCGGCTGTCTATTCTTTATTTCAAGGTGACATGGCAATCATTTGTCATTTCATGATTGTAGTCAACCATTTCAACAATGAAATATTTCATTAGATGGAAGAGCAAATAAAATTGGAAGTGGGGGTAGCAAGTGGGCCCACTTCAATTGGTTAGAGTATAAAAATTATTTAGTTATATTAGAAATGAATCGGGCCCACCATATGAAATTGAAGATAGATTTCATGGATGTAAATGAAATGAAAGTTAAAGAATGAAATTGTAAAAGGTGTATACGTGGCGGCAGGGGCCACATATAAAATAGATATGCTATTTCATGGTTGTTGATGGTCTAACCGACCATGAAAACCCAAGTACTGGGGCATGTTTCCTATATCTTAGCAGTCGAGAAAGCCTTTTATGGCTGAACTTGTTTATGGCTATTAGTAGTAGAAGCAGAAATTTGTCAGTTCAATTATTGGCAGAAGTTAGGAACGTGATCAATCGAGGGGCTGATTTGCACCGTATTTCTGGTGCAAAGGCTGTGTTCTTAAAAATTAACAAATTTTTTGGCTCGTGCTCCGCCGTAGTAAGAAACTAATGATTTATTTGAAATCAAACTATTCAAATAATATTCCTACATAAATGTCACACAGTGTATTGATCATTACGAATAACATATGTCATTCGTTTATTTAAGTGGTACATAATAAATAATTATCCCTACATAAGGTTTACATAGTGTTTAATCATTATGGAAAATTTACATAATATTTTTGTTTAATTGGCACATAAGAAATGATCATCTATTCATGAACTTTAGTAGTGTGTTAATCATTAAGAAAGATTAATGTAATATATTTGCTTATATAATAGTCATCTTTTTATAAAATTTAGTTTATCTAGTGTCTATAAATTTTGTTTATGTGACTGTTACAAATTTATTTAATTGTTATAAAACATTACGGTTATATAATATTGTTACATATAACTTTCATGTGCGATCTAATAATAAAATCAAGTTATAGAAAGTAACATTTGATGAATTCTTAATTTATGTTACTGTTATAGAACCTTGTTATAAATTTTCAAAATGTGTGGTCTGATAATAAAACCACACTTTAGAAAGTAAGATACGATTAAAACTGTTATGTCAAAGTTAACTAACCTTGCGAAATTTTTGTATAATGCAAATTGATGACATTTTAATTATTTTAGGGCAAAATACAGTTGTATATCCACAACTATCAGGTTTGTGACAAATATATCCACAACTATCGATATACACGAAATATCCAAAAATCGGAAGGTTGTGTGACAAATCTATCCACTTTCGTCTAAACCTATAATGACGTGTCAGACGACGTTAAGTTGACTAACGGAATGCTAAATCGATGCCATCTCAAATGCCACATAAGCCAAAAAGCAACCAAACTTTACACCGTTATCTGTTAGACCTCGCTGCTGCAGTCTTATCTGTTGGCGATTTGGTTAGATTCAAGCTTTTTTGTTTGAGATTCAAGCTTGGCATCACCATGGCGCCGACTGCATGGAAGCTGTCAGATTAAAAGGGAGGCAATGGTTGGGGATTGTGGTTGGAATCGAAATCTGGGCTTGGGGTAGGGTTATTTGGGGGTGGAGGCGTCGATCGGAGGAGGATCAGTGGTTATCGGGCATGTTTCTGGTTTGGATTTTTAGCCTCGCCGTCTGTGGGTTTTAGGATTTTTATATTTTTTTCTCTTTTAATCCACGTCATTCAGTGGGACCAGAAACACGCCAACTAAGCATCCACCGTCTGTCAAGTCATCAAGTTAATTGACGGAGTTAACGGAGTGGACGGAAATGGATATTTTGTGTATTTCGATAGTTGTGGATATATTTGTCACAAACCTGATAGTGGTGGACATATTTGTCACAAACCTGATAGTTGTGGATATACAACTGTATTTTGCCTTTATTCAACTAGCCTATTTGGCATCTAGGTGTAAAGTTTGGTTGCTTTTTGGCTTATGTGGCAGGTGAGATGGCATCGATTCAACATTCCGTTAGTCAATTTAACGCCGTCTGACACGCCGTTATAGTTTCAGACGGAAGTGGATATATTTGTCACACAACCTTCCGATTTTTGGATATTTCGTGTATTTCGATAATTATGGATATATTTGTCACAAACTTGATAGTTGTGGATATACAGCTGTATTTTGCCTTATTTTAGTTAACAATGAAGGAATTTCATTGTTGTGGACATTTTAATTATTTTAGTTAACAACCGATCACATTTTAATTTCATTGTTGTGGAAACATGGCGGGTGGTAATTGGTTGGGTGCACCAGGTCATCATTCCTAGTTGGTACACCCTTCCCACTAAAGAATTTCTCGCAAAGAAACCTCGAGGCCCGAGTCAATAAGAACCGGTCAACCAAATTGCTAGTGGTTTTTAATTGGATCCAAATTGATCTTGCATTCGAGTCCCAATTTTACCGATACAACCGACTCAGTTCGATTTTAACAACATTGTAATTAACCATAAACAACACAAAGTAGTAAAGTTCTATCGTACGAAAGGACCATCTGCTAATCGATAAAACAAAGTGTATGATATCAGCACAAATCCAAATTATTAATTCATATAATATCTACTAATCTATGAACCCGCACATAGTTTACAAGATTGATGGGCATAAAGTGTACTTATATGATTCCAGATAAATGAAAACAGAAAACGACTTAAAAGAGAGCTTTGCTACCACCCACCCCAATGCAATAAACTACCGCAACCATTCAAGATTACTGGGACCATAATTTATTATTGATCACCAGAGAATCAGCTTTCATAGTTTTCTAAGAACAAGGATGAAATTAGCAGGCTGGATTTCCTGAATGGCCATTTCTTCATCCACCAATCTAGCAAAGATGTCAAACAAACTGTCCACGCTCAAACCTTCCCCAAAATGGTGTCCCAACATCGATTCCTGTACACTCCTAACAGTCCTCGCAACTTCTCTGCCAAAGCTCTCTTTAGCCTCATCAAATTTCACTTCCATCCCAAATGTCTCGAACCTCTCCAACTGAAACCAACCATCTCTCCTGATCTCAGCTTCAATCTCACCCCTACATGGTGCATAGAAATGCACATCATAGGAATCAAGTTTCCCTTCCTCAATAGCCCCCTGCAATAAGAAAATGGTTACTAAAACGTTCCAAAATTTGCGGTTTATACGATGCTAATCCCTTATCATTCAGTACCTGAGCAGCTAAAATGGCTAAAGATCTAGAGAGCAGCTCCCATAACAACGAATTCCCTCTATCCACATGGTCATGACCGATTCTCCCGGTCAAGATCAGCACCATTCTCCCATGGGCATCAAGCTCCTCTGCTCGCGACCTGAGGAACAAAGCGAAATCCTCCTTGAATTGATCTATGTACGCATTGGATACACTCGGTGGACTGGATTCAGCAATGTAGACTTTCCCTTTGTTGATTGATTTCCCTTGTTCATCATACAACCCTGGAGGTATCTGCGGGCAGAATTTTGGCAGTGTAGTTCAGAACCAAAATCAGACTGAAAGGCGAAAACAGAGGAAGTGGGGGAAAAGATGAGGGCTTTATGATGATTTCTGCATAACTCGCACCCTGGATAGCCAGTGAAGGCTGTACGAAGAGTAAACGAATTGGAGGGAAGAAGTGGGGAAAACCCTTCCGTAAAACGACCCCGGATGAGCAGAAACGAAAACGGTCGACGACCCACCGGCGACGCCGTCGGTTCCGGCCTTGCGAAGTTGACGGTAGAGCTCCGGGAGGGATCTGAAAATGGAATTGAAGTCGTTAGTCGGGAGATCGTTGAGGCAGACGCGTATCTCGGCCGGCGGCGGGGTGATTTCCCGGGCGAGGGCTTCCACCAAATCTGTGACGATGGAGAGCGTATTGGGGCCGGAGGAGCAGCCCAAATCGGCTATCCCGAAGCTATTGGGCCGGATCGAGAGGTAGGCTTGTTGGATCGTCTGGATAGTTATGTGCTTCACCATCTCAGAAGCCTTCTTCTGCGAAAATTAAACCACCCAGAGGTCAGAAACGTGACTGCGGGGTAAAAATTGGGGAGATCAATTTGTTACCGACCTGGAAATGAGAGTTCTTGGCGTAGCTGTTGGCGCCATCGCCTCCGTTCATGTGGAAGACTTCCTCTACATTCATGTTTGTGGGTGTGTTGTAAATTGCAATGCAGTTTCCTCTGTTTCTCTTTAGGGAAGATGAGGTTTTGATATCAGTGTTTAAAGGGGCGGGAAGTCTCCACGTCGGGCTTTACTTTACCCCTTTTAGGAGTGAGCCTCTCTTAGCTTTTGACTTATGGTTTGTGATTGTGAGCACTACTATTTTCGATCATGTCATCCTGTGGAAAAGCCATTATACAACTATGATTATCATCAAGTATGGTTGGACTTCCAGTGTTTATAGACGAAAGTGCAGTTGAGAACTTTCATATCTGAGGCTCAAGTAACACTTTAGACAACCCAAAGTGGGTTGGGGGGGAAATGGATTGGTGGGTGCTTTCAATTTTGGCCCAAGGAGGCCGTGAAAAGTGGAGAGAGTGGGGGCAATTTCACATGGAAGGGGGCCGGTGACAATTTTGCCTGGAGTGTGTGTCGCACAACGTTATCAAATCAGTTTATACGGTTATGTTGGTTTAGTTTGGTAAGTTGTATACTTTTATTAGTGTTAGAATCGGTTTATACTAGTTCATGTCGGTTTTAGCATAACATATTGAGAAATAAGAGATTGTGAACACTATATGAAATTAGGCATATATAACATATTTGAAGAAGATCTCTCTAAATGCTACATTCATATTTAAAGAAAATATATTTAAAATAAAATGAAAGATTCTCATATTTAAATACAACATTTAATGCCAGCATCCGAGCGTTTATACTTGAATTCAACAAATAACATAAAAGTCTTAAAATACATACTTGAATCCAACAAATAACATCAATAGTTAACTCTCAAATTCATAAAAAATATCTTTTTTTAATTAAAATAATCAAAAAGACATATTTTTTTAGAAACTTGAAATCAGTCGTGCTAGTGATTCCTATCAAATTTGTAACTGGTATCTATTAAATCCGATTCTATAGGATGGTATGTCATTAGTTTGACAACCATAGTATCAAACTTGTGACCAGTTACTTTTGATACAAATTTTTTTTTGTTAACTTTTATGTTGTAATAAGATTTAAATGGCTCTCAAACGTCACTTTTCAATGATCATTTTTCACTCTATAATTAAAAATGTTGGAAAATACAGTATTGTTCCAACAACACAACTCATTATGTCAAACATGTTATCAATCTATGACAATCTGATTAATTATTGTGTTTATGTCATGTTTAATTAATTGGTGACCAATATTTCAGTTGAAATAATAAAAAAAGTTACATTGAAAGATTCATCTTAGTATCTTTTACTACCCATATAAGGATACGGACTGAATAATATAGAAAAGTGATAAAATCAAAACTAAATTGGTTACACTCACAAATCCATTCATGCTTTTTCACCCCAATTTTTTCTTCTACCGAGTGATCTTAGTTTCATTTGTATTCCACACATTTGATTTAAATTGTCATAGTAGTAATTATGCCATGACGCATTGATAAGTATTAAATATTCACAATTATCAGAACCAAGGCAGTTTAGATGGTCCATAGTTAGAGTTGTTAAGATCCATACCCATTAATCCAATCCAATTAGGGATGGCAATTTTACTCATACTTATGGTATTTTGCTACCCAATCGAATTAGGTGGAGTATGAAATCCAAATATATGATGAGCTAGTTCGGCCCTGCTGTAGTTTTTGCAGAAGCAGTTTATGGGTGGAATTTTTAGAGAAGTACTTTTTAAAAAAAGCAGTTGAGTGTTTGGCTGAAAACTATTAGAAGTGCTTTTTAATATAAGTGGTTATCTAAAATGACTATAAAGGATTTATAATATAAAATATGAATAAATATTCTAAACAATAAAAAGTAGTCAAAATGGATCTTGTTAGATTTCTGTTATATTAAATAATATGATTTTAAAAATTTATTTTTATTTCTAAAATGATATAAATGAAATAAAATTATATATTCTTAGATAAAATTAAAATATGATAAGGATAGTCTTGTATGTTTAGAATATCGTTTCATACAAGCTGTAAATCGAAGCTTCTACTTTTATGTTATTCAAAAGCACTTTTCAGCTTTTTATGTGTAGTTAAAACACTCTCAGGGGTCGTTTGCTTGAGGGTTTTGGTGATGGATTTGGTCATGGAAATATATCCATCACGGACTTGAACCGAAATCCATCGTTTGCCTTATAGAAACACTTTATGCTCATCTTGTACATTATTATTTGATTGATTGTCGGATTCCACATCGGTGAGTTAGCAAGAAGATGATGAGTTGTAGCAATAAAGCGAGCAATTGGCTGCAATTGATACATAATATGACGTACATTATTAGATGAATTGTTTTTTTATGAAGGATTATTAGATGAATTTTTAATTAGTGCCAAGATGAATTGTTAATTAGTGCCAAATTGTAATACATTTCTATATTTGTAGTTGAATTATTAATCCACATAGTGGTAAAGAGTTTAAAATGTCTTTCTATGTTTTGGATTAGTTTTAAATGAAAGATTTGGATTATAATATAGAATATAATTAAATAAGGGTAACTAGGTAATTTGTATTTAATATCCACAAATCTAATCAAACAAAGTCTATAATCAAATCCATCAAGCAAACAATAGACTTGTTCAAATCCATAATGCCACTAAATCCATCATATATCCATGGTTTTCCAAAACCCAAATTTTACCAAAACCCTCATTTTTCAAATCCATGAAGCAAACGACCCGTAAAAGCTTTTAGAGGTGTTTGGCCATGCTTAACCTTTCGAAGTCGAAAAAAACTTCTACAAACCCGTCCAAACATAGGCGATATATGAGTAGAGTTTGATGGATTTGTACCAATACACATTTATTTGGGATGGATTGAGTTTTTATTTTTAAATCCATGGATTTGGGTTTGTACACATATCTATATAAAAATTATAGTTTGGTACCTAAACTTATTAGATCTTTAGATTTAGTAATTAAACTTAATTTTTTGCATATAAGTCCTCAAAATATCAAAAAAATATTATATTTTATTACCTAATTTTTTTTGTTATTGCATTTTGATACCTAAAATTTTTAATTTTTACAAATAGGTCCAATTTTTTATGTGTAGTTAAAACACTCTCAACTAAATGGGTACTCATATCCAACCCATACCCATTTAGATTGTGGAAGCGATATCCAAATCCTACCCAAACCCATATACAAACCCCCAAACCTAGGGCTGGAAGTTTGGTACCGGTATTTGGGATATACCGAATACCGTACCGAATTTGTCTATATTTGGTATTACCGAATACACGTATTATTTTGTGGGATTGGGATTGGGATTGAGTTTCAATTGTTATTCGGTATTAGGGATTACGAGATTGGGATCGGTATATACCGAAATACCGATCAATACCGAAATATAAGCTAATGTGTATTTTATCGTCTCAACTAGACTCTCTCATTCACTTCTACGCGACCCTCAACCATCAAGAGTGTCATTTAATTATAAATAAATCATTACATCAGTATTTCACACTAGTATTAGTCGTCTCTCAACCTCAAATCATCAAATTAAAGATTACCAATTACAAAAACTTGAGATGTTAGCTCTAGGCAACTCAAGACTCTTTGCGTAGTCTCTTTGCCCTAAATTAAACAATAAAATCTAATTTATATATTTAGTTATTAATGACAAAGGTAATTAATTTTGTATTTGATAATACCGATTGGGATACCGAGGTACCGATTGGGATACCGAAATATTTAGGGATTTGGATTGGGATACCAAAATTATTTAGGGATTGGGATTGGGATTGATTTCAGGATGTAATTCGGTATTTGGTATTGAGATACTGATACCGTACCGATTTCCACCCCTACCCAAACCTATTATATACTACACCCTACCCATAATCAATGGATCTATTTGGATTTGGGTAAAATTACCCATGGGTGGGTAATTGTCATCCTTAAATCCAATCCAGTCCATCCACTAAAATATCTAACTATTCTAATCCTTTTGATCCAAATCTAATTGGAATGGGGAATCCATGAATCCAAATGGCAAATTACAATTTAATACCTATATATTTTTTATATTATATATTTTGATACATAAAATATATTTTTTGACTTAAAAATATCATTGGAAAATTATGTATTGGTCACTTAAAATTTTTATTATGACATTTTAGTACCTAAACTTTTCAAAATTTATATATTGATTCAAGGATTGAATGTCATTTGGATTCATTGATCAATACACTAATTCATTTAATCCATAGATATACCAATCCAACCTAGGAAATAAGGCTCAAGATAGGGTGCATAACCATGGGTTATCTGGACCCTTCATTTAGAAAATCCAGATCTAAGGATGGAGAATTAAAGGCTATTTTTATTTTCACTAGTTTTCTTAATTGACTCATATCTTTTTCGTTTTAACTCGAACTTTAATTTTTTTTGCACAGATGAAACGAGTTCACCGTGCTCTACAAAATGAGTTCAATTTTCAATATTTTTTTAGGAAAAAAAATTCTGGCCTCTCGGTACCAACTGCATACCATATGGTATCTTCTTCGTTTTTAATTCGTTTTTGAAAACGTTTGCACAGCAGGGATGAGTTCATCATGATCTACTGGATCTACAAATTTCTGGGTGAACAAATTACAGGACCAAAAAATACCACACAATACCATACAATACCACCCTGGTACGGGGTGGTATTGTATGGTATCTTCTTCGTTTTTAATTCGGTTTTGAAAACGTTTGCATAGAAGGGACGAGTTCATCATGATCTATTGGATCTACAAATTTCTGGGTGAACAAATTACAGGACCAAAAAATACCATACAATACCACCCTAGTACGGGGTGGTATTGTGTGGTATACAATGTTAAAAGTCGTAAATTACAATTAATATATTTCTACTATCATGTATTCAACCATCCTACAGTATTGGTTTGTTCATACCACCATTGTACTTTTTCAAAACATAGGTATGCTTTTATTTCAATACCAGTCAATACCATATGGTATAGACTGGTAAAAAATGGCTCAATTTTTTTTGTTCGAAAAAAATAT